GTTGCCGAATGTCCGCGCACCCCCAAGGTGATTGATGCCCCTGAGTATTGAGATAGAGAGCTCTATAGCGCAAATGGTTAACGCGTTCGGCTGCGATCGTTGAAGTTAAGCAACTTTCGCAGTGGTTGGTCATTGGATGGGTGACCAAAAAAATTTACTATCTCGAGCTCCTCTGTGCTTCGGAAGGCACGTTAAGCCATTGGTCCCGGTTGCATCTGCAGTCGTTAGCACCCACCAATCCACACTAGGCCCGCGTGGTGGGTCATGGCCCAATCTCCCTATTCCATCCACAGAGAAGGCCTGTGCCCCAGCAGTGGGGACATTAATAGGCTGATGATAATGATGATGATTGAGATAGAGAGTATTGAGTCTGTGGCATCCCACGAACCTCAACCGACCAGCTCCCATACCTACCAGGTAAACCAACTTCCCCTCCACCTCCAGGCATAACTGGGGGATCCAGTTATGAATTGCCGCTCGTCACCAAACCAACCTACATCAAAACCAAAATGATAATAAGTATTTACTGGACTCACCAAAACCCCATCCTACTTATTAACCTCGTATTTAAAATTCAGAGGAGCACACAAATAAATTGCGTTTGTGCCCCAGTTACAGTAATTGTTAAATGTTACATTCAAACACGAATCCTGGTCAAAATTAAATTATCCTAATAATACGCGTTTAAAAAACATTAATAATAATACTGCCGCTAGCTAGTAACAGTATTCTCGTGTTGTGTCCCTGTGAGTATGATATTAGATCACCACGATGCAGGGGACAGGGTCTAAAGGACAATGTTAAAGTTGGCCTAAGAACCAACAGAAATTTGGCATGTATGATAATTCTTAGTATATTTTTTGCAAAATTTATCAGTATTTAGATTGTGACGGATACTTCCAGTTATAATTAAAAAGTTAAAAAGGACATTTTATGTGTACCAATTTTTTTTTGTTCTCCCTTTTCAATGAAGGCAATAGGAACAATGCCCATACAGCTTGATTTATATATATGTATATGTAAATATTTTTGAATATAAGAACCAGCTAAGATGGAATCGATGCTAAGCGATAGTAAATCACTTTTCCCTATGGGGATATTGCTTCAAAAGTTACTTTGAATATTGAAAAATCTATGGTACACTTGTAATGGTGTTCGTTCCGGTAATAAAAATAATTCTCCCCTCTAATCGCAGTTTTGACCGAGAATCTATTTTGACTGCAACATTCTATTGCATAATCTAACAGTGCTATTATAATACAAGGTTAAGCTAGGGTAGTTTAAGCCTGCCGTTTATATTGTAACATACGGTCCACTCATAACCAAAGGCATATTGAGAGAGAGGCCAGCTTTCTGACCCATTAGTAATACGAGCAGTGCCTAATTAATTATTCGGAACAGCCGCTTACACAAATATTATATTAAAGTTATAGAGGAGATCTTTAATCGTTTCCTCATTACTGAGGATGGTGATATTTTATGGTTTTATGTTGTTTTTTCTCATCAGTCTCTGTTTATGGTTGCTCTGACCTTTCTTTTTTTTTATTACGCAGGCAAAACCTCTATTTAAAGCCGTTGGCGCCCTTAAGGGGCACACCCACGAACGGACCTCGCACCTAGCCTCTCGCAAGTCTCACGGGTGCGAAACAGAGAAGACGTTAAGCAGTCCGCGCTGCTTACGAGCGCTTGCGGCACACTATCCGCTAAAACACCCTGCGAATACCCTCTACGCTGTTAAGTGCGGAACCGCGAGATCCCCGTTGAGGAACTTCGCCACTTCTCCGCACCCAACAGCCTCGCGGCCTAGCCGGGGCTCCACGGCAGGGATCACCCGGGGTACCGCGGGTGATCCCGCAGACGTGCGCAGGACTGCCCGCGCTGGGAGCTAAGTGCGCGGCCTATTGCCCACCGCACCGCTCCCTGTGTGGTTGCTCTGACCTACCTGATGACATAAACTTGAGGAGGTTGCTACGAGTACTCTCACTCGATCAGACCATCTCGTAAGCCAGCGACCCCGGCCTCTCTTGGGCTCTACTCTACCAACCACCAGCTTTGCAACTCTCCACATAAATGAACCATAGATTACATATACTTATCTATTAAGCAGTCCGCGCAGCTTACGAGCGCTTACGGTATACTTTCTGCATAAAAAAACTGCGAATACCCTCTACGCTGCTCAGTGCGGAACCGCGAGATCCCCGTTGAGGGACTTCACTGCTTCTCAGCACCCCAGAACACCGTAAACCTAACTTAAAGTTCTTAAAATATAGAAACAGATTATTATATTATGAAACAGCCATGGGAATGATATGTCTCTTACAACTCGACACATACTCGATGTAATTACTTACATATTTAATTACAAAGAAGAACATGTATAATTTATATTTCAGACACAAAGGCTTTGATGGGTAATTATAGTCTTAACATAACGTATGCATTACCGATATCAGTGGATAGTACGTGTATAATTTAAATTCTGTTTGATGTTATCCACATAAATCCAATTAATATTTCCTCTTTCTGTTTCTGTATCAAAAGTACACAATCAATCCGTATACTATTATAATTAAATAGGTTCGCCGATTCATCTGTGATTTCCATATAATGGCAACACACAATACATTTCGGCTTTTCGTCTCTTGTTTTTTGTTTTATTAGCTTTCAAAAGCTTATTGTTCTTTGACGAGATTTATTTAAACAATGTGAGTATTGCTAAGGGTGCATTTACAATGGAATTGATACTTTTTGTTTCCGGAAAATACAGAAAGCCTTGCAATGCCGATCACCCGTAAAAATATAGCACTTTACGCAACTCAAATATCATCATGCATTTTCATTATTTTTTTTTATTAATAATTTTTTTTGTCTATTTTTATATAGTTGTGATGTTCCTGTTTCTCCATAATTTTTCAAAGTTTGTCCATGGCTGATCTCGTGCGTGCTTGTAAGCAAGCATATATATGAGGGCGTTAAATGTGTCGCGTTTCAAATATGGCACCATAATTATCGAATACAATTGTGTGTCTGATGTACGGCCCGCCTTACCGTCTCCAAAGTATCATCTATCTGTATACTAAAATTTATGATAATTGATTCAGTGGTTGAGGCGTGTAAGCGTAACAAACAAACTCACTTTCGCATTTATGATATGATAATGACTGCCGTGCCGCTTTAATAATGGTACATTGTGATCCACGTAAAAATTAAAAGTTTGTACGTGGATCACAACAATCCAAGTTATAGGTATTATCAAACAGATGGGAACCACAAGACGGGTGATATAATTATGTTACGAATTTTTTTATGATTTTAAAAAGTTAAAGCGGACGGAATCGCGTTTTGCTGTTTTTGCATGATTGAGTAACAAGCGTAAAAACTTTCGCATTTATAATATTAGTAATTAAATTGAGTAAACTTTATTGAAGTTTACTTATAATATAACTAGTGGCTCACCCTCGCTTCGCTTCAGTGTAGAGCTGTTCTGTAGACTATAGTTTTTGTTCTCAGGCTTGTATTATACACAATGACATTCTTCTAATACCTAATTACACTAGGCACGCGCCGCCAAACCCCCGCCCAGTAGCGTCGGAAACGACCTATGTCCCTGCATTTTAAATCTGTAATATCTTCGAAAATATTTTTTTAAATTACATGCGTAAAAGGGCCAAATTGGTCAAATGCACAATGTATTTAAGGTACTTAATTGGATAAGGATGAATGTTATATTGCTGAAAATCGCTTCGTAAATAATCTACCTATATTATATCTCGTAAAAAGTATAGGATAAAAAATGGTTATTGTGGGTTATCCCTAAGAGATAGACATATACCATCGGGAAACTTTTTTGTAGACCTTTTTAAGATGTACAATACTGTAGTACATTATTTTGATCTATCTCGTAGAGTTCAGCCAGCGTTTGCAATGTAAGCGCATAAAATGTGTTTATTTACGACCTTAATTATCAGTGTTTCTCTACTATATTATGCATTTATTATACATATAAACCTTCCTCTTGAATCAAACTATCTTTTAAAAAAACCGCATCAAAATTCGTTGCGTATTTTTAAAGATGTAAGCATACATAGGGACAAACAGCGGGAAGCGACTTTTCTTTGTACTATGTAGTAAGTGAAACTTCTTTACGCACGCTTGACTTGAGGGGTAAGCTGGCGAATGAGTTGCGCGTTACGAAAAGTGTATTCGGGCGAGACGAACGGGGGTTGAGTGGGGGATATAAGCAGGAGAAAGTAGTGCACTAGCACATTTTCTTTATCTCTTTCTCTTATAGCTAGTAAATGAAATATGTATATGTACATACATGTATAAAATATATATCTAAATACAGATGGAGCTAAAGAAGTTTCACTTCAGTTGTGTGCTCAAAAGCACACTCGTTTTTTTTATAGAAGTTTATTAGGATAGAAATAGGAACGATTAGGATTGTAAAAATAACCTACAATGTGAATACACCTTTACTCACTACGGGATTCCATCAAGCGGACCCGTCCTCTTGTTTTCGCTGAATTTCTGTTTGTGTAATCAACATGGCATTGATAGCTATTTCAATATGATGTTTATTTAGATTTTGCCTTTAGCCATTTAAAATTTAAAGCATTCAAATCTCTGCTGGATATTTACGTAATGTAATAAAAAGGCAAAGTTGTTTACAGCATTTTAAAGCGTGTTTCTATCGCTTTTGTCACTCCACTACAGATGTTTGATAAAATTTATATTACTTAGCATTTTAGGTCGAATGTTGAACTAACCCTGTACGACTTTATAATAATTATAGACTATAATTTTAATTTATCTACTTATGTATAACGTACCTTATTCCCTTTGTGCTATATTTTAAGAACAGGATGTCATATCAATAAAATATGCTCTTATTATTTTTAAAAAATCGAATGAAAATTATTTAAAACCAATAGCAGTTAGTTCAACACTATAATAGGTTTTTACAATAAAATAATCATTTTTTCTCTCTTTGCCCACAGATAAAAAAGGCGCGCAAATGTGACACGGCCACAGAATAATCATGCCCGAGCCCGCGAAAAGATAATATCAAAACCAATATGGCGCACGAGAAAGAGTGGACCGACTATTTCGGCGACTTCCCCAATAGGACAAGGCTCGACGATGAACCACCGAAGAACTTCAGTTTTTACGACAATTTAGGGGAGGAATACACCAACTTCACTTCGGAAGACTTCTGCTCGTCAAACCGCTCTCACGTCTACCTCAATGTTACATGCGAATTCCCCATCAATTATGCCGAACCTATGTATGGGTAAGTATAGATCATCAACATCTGCCTATTCATGTCTAAAAACGTTCGGGCCCCTATACTGTGCCACGGGCGGCAGTGGGACAGCCGTTGCTACGGGTCTCCCTGGCCGGTGGGTCGATGCAGTCCTCGACGGCATCGGTTCGACGGTTGCCTCCGCTGAACCGAATCTGTAGCGGCAATCCCCACTTGAGCTTACTTACCCGTCAACAGAAACACAACAACACCAAAAGGTAAAACTGTCGTCTTGTGTAAGTTGGAGGTTACTTCACCATACGGGAGCTCCACTTGGGTTGGAAATTCCACCGTGCACAAATTCTCTTGTAAAACAAATATATTACGAGTTCTCGCATCGCTATCTTATTCGCAAATCTTTGATTGGAAAATGCCCTTTAAAGGAGACTGGGCGAAAGTGGTCCAAGAACAAATACTGATACCGTTGTGGTATTTATGGAGGGGTGCTACACTATACTTAAATACAGGTATCAAAATCTGACCCAGCAGTTTTGAGAATGAATAACACTTTACAGTAGTACATACATTTTACTACATGTTTTGTTTAATAAGGCTATTTCTGTCTGTCTCATAACACATAAGATATTCTACATAATACCAAAATAAAACTTTTTTGAAAAAACGGTTGAGTTTCTTGTTGCGTAAGAACTTAATACATATCTACCAGAAATATACTGAGTACTGAAGCCAAATATAGTCAGAAAAAGCCGACAAAAACATCGTAAGCAAATACTGTACTAAATCAATGTTATTTAAAGCGTAAAGTAAAGCGATTCTAGCCACGAGTTATAAGACACGTTTTATTTTTTTGTCTCAGTTACTTTTTCAAGTGTCAATCAGTCCAACCGTGCATGACATTCATGAAATCATAGTGAATTTATTAAAAGTACCAACATAATATTGATTCTTCTTGAAATAAAATACCCACAATATACCTTATAATAAAATGAAAGATGAACAGAATACATAGCACTGCTTTAATTACTCACTGAATAGAATATATTCGGTACTTTGGCTACAAACGGTAGATAACGAAGCTTGTCATTTGCCAATCAATAATTATTATGTACTTTTCGATTATAATTATAATAAATTAAAAACGAGAATAGAATAAATTTTTGTTTTTTATCACGATTATGTGCACTACATGTCATAAAAAATTAAAATCTGCCGGGGACTCATTACCAACTTCCATACAAACTTGAGCTGCCTTCTTTGCCCAGTCTCCTTTACAAACATGGAATATAAAACAGATAGCATCTTAATTTTGAGTTGAACCCCTTTAATGTGTACATTATCAATAATTAGAATCTCAGGAGAACTTTTGAGACAAAGGAAATTCGAGATGAGGTTAGGCTTGTCGATTAACGATAAGCATGTAGGTTACACATAAAATATGAAATTACCTTGAACATTATTACCACGTAGGGACTTAAATTTGTAGAACAGTTTCTTAAGTAAGATTCAACACACAGCACAATTTAATAAAGTATGAAATATACATTTGACATTGTGGATTACCTACAATGCGAAGAGATGGCGCTGCCTTACAGCCTAAGGCTAGAGAAAATTCTTCACGGCCGTCAGGGCTGCGGTAGCATAATGGTCCGTGCATTCGCACGGATAGCGAAGAGTGCGGGTTCGAGTCCCGTCTGCTGCCTGGTCCGTGTGGATTTTTTTCAAGTGAACTTTTCTTTAGGTTCAATCATGTAACAGTTTAATGCTTAAAAAAATAAAAACATAAAAGTGTGAAATAGACATTAAGAGAGGTAAAGCACAGCGTATTTACGTATAAGTAACCTTAACCTTACAGAAGATTGCAGATAAATAACACTAGCTTAGCTGAGGAGCTCGATGGCGCAGGTGGTTAGCATGTTCGGCTGCGATCGTTGAAGTTAAGCAACTTTCGCAGTGATCGGTCATTGGATGGGTGACCAAAAATTTACTATCTCGAGCTCCTCCGTGCTTCGGAAGGCACGTTAAGCACTGGTCCGCACCAATCCGCACTGGGCCCGCGTGGTGGGTCATGGCCCAATCTCCCTATTCCATCCATAGGGAAGGCCTGTGCCCCAGCAGTGGGGACATTAATAGGCTGATGATGATGATGATGAACACTAGCTTTTGGTGGTACTGTTTTTCTGTTTGTGAGTAACCAGAGCTCCACTGGGCAGGGGATTAGGTCAGGTGGGAGGTAACGGTGCGACGGTGATATTTTTGGACGGTATTGCAAGCGTCTATAGGCTATGGTGTCCGCCTACTATCAGGCCGTCCATACACTTGTTTGCCACCTTTTTTACATAAAATAATAATAGTGTCACGGACAGACCTCCGTCACATACACACTTTTTATATATATGTATTTCTCTATGAATCTGTGAGCTAACTCTTTAGTCTATTAATGTCAAGTGTTCAGTTATTTTTATTGCACTCCTTTTTTATACAGTTTCGGTGTTATATTTTATAGTCAAAATTCCAAAATAAACCTGTTTTCCCATCCCATCCGCCTTTTCCTTTGCTGTCCACGACAAATAGTGATAGTTTTTTTTTTTCTAAATGGCTTCGCACGGCTTGTGCATTTAGCCAATGTCAAGTGTTAAAATGTTTACAAATACACTCGTAATAGCACTTGTGGTCAAAGTAATAAATCAAGTCAAAGTAAGTGGCAGTCAAGTCAACCCCCCTTTCCCTATGTTTCAGTAAATGTGTGGGGATTTACTGGAACCTCCCCTTGGACTTCTTGAGGGGACGTCGAAAGACACTTTCCGCTATTTTGTTTCACTTGCCAACACTTGTGCATGTTCCCGAACACTAAGTGGTTAATAATCTACCATTATTAGACACTAACATCCGCCACAACACAATTTTTAACAAGAAAAACAAAACTGCTAAAGTGACGCTTCCCGATCCCGCCAAAAAGTCCATATAATTATAATGATAGATAATCCACAAGTAAACAACTTTTTATTTTTTATTTGTCAAGTTCCAATCTCAATATTTTTTCTCATTCATCCTGGATATTAAGAAAAAAACTTACTAAACCTCTTTGCGCGAATTCAAAAGCCATAATCCACCTCGTTTTCCCAGTGTTTCCTCGCGGTAAACAGAATAGCTTTGATCTCTTCGAGATTTTTTTTATTTTGTTCTTTTACACGGTCGTCCATTTTTCTAATGTCTCGTTACCGTCCTATAGATGTTTCAGCTCGTTATCTAAATTGCCGTCGTTTTCGAGACTTGGAGTCATAGTCGTTATGGTTCAGTTCGATGCCTTCCTTTACGATTATTTTTCTTCAGTCTTTAGAATAATAGTTACTGGAGGTGCAGTGCACACAGAAAGAGGGTCGGTTCCATTATCTAAACAAAAATAAAAAATTGGCAAACATGGTACAATACACAAGAAGTTTACAGCGTTGCGAAGCGGAAGTGAGAACCAGCGCGACAACGCCACTCCATGGCTCTAGGCCACGCTCAAAGTCGTCGCGCGCTGCTCCGTGGCTCTAGGCCACGCTCAAAGTCGTCGCGCGCTGCTCCGTGGCTTTAGGCCACGCTCAAAGTCGCCGCGCGCCGCTCTGTGGCTCTTAGCCCGCGCTCAGAGTCGCTATGCGTAGTAGCTAATGATTCTGGAGACTCTCCTAAAACGATGTTGAGGCTGCCCCTAAAGATAATGTTAGACCTTCCGCTAAGATAAAAACTTCTTCTTTCCAGATACATCGCTCCTTTCCTCCTGGCCACAACGATAGTCGCGAACACCCTAATAGTGGTAGTTCTCTCCCGTCGTCACATGCGGACTCCCACCAACATAGTGTTGATGGCGATGGCACTATGTGACATGTTCACCATGCTGTTCCCGGCGCCGTGGCTGTTCTATATGTATACGTTTGGGAACCACTACAAGCCGCTGAGTCCGGTTAGGGCGTGTCAAGCGTGGAATTACATGAATGAGGTAAGTCAAATCGTTACCATTAACAGATTTATAAATTTTTATATAAATAGGTCCGATAGATGATTCCACCTCGTCTTATGTCAAGTGACAGTGGAGTCCAGGTGCGAAGATAGCTGATACAGTAGTTATATCTGCCACAACACTAGTGGGAGGCCGTGACTTCACCTACGTGGACAAATTGGTTTCCCATACAAACTCCCACCCCACTTTTTACTCCATTAAAGGATGGTGTCTGGGATAAAAATACCCTATAATATCCTATGACCTTCCCCGGGACTTATCTATACCAAATTTCATCTTAATCGGTTTAGTGGTAAAGAGGTAACAGTTAGACAGATAGGCGGACATAGTTTCGCATTTATAATTTTGTTTGGAAGTATGGATTTGTGGTGTATTTTGTAACAAATTTAAAATATATATTGGCAACACTGTTTACCGGTCCAATGCGCTCTTATGTGTCATGGCGCTGTCGAGAATAGCAGACCTATATTGTAAATCCTATCTTTTAACTAACTTTAGTTTTATTAATAAACATTTCCAAGTATAATCGTGTTTTGATTGTGACAGGCCCCAACAAACACGAAAGGATTATGCCACTTTGTTTTGAATATTAATGCCGGAATGCCATACGCCACTGTTATTTAATCAAATGTCAGCCTAAAATCACGTTTAACACATTATTTTGGAGATAGAATGGGGCTTAATTAAAGTCTAGAATTTCGCTACCCTGGAGTTGTCCTAAATTCTATTTAAGAATTATGAAAAATTCTGTTTATTATTAAAATTCTGAAATTTAAACCAACTAGATAAATTTTTGGGGGGAAATCACTTAACTTGATAACGCTGATATAAATTCACTTAGTCCCAATTACAGTTAAAACCCCCTGTTTGGGCATAGAAGTGGAGTCTTCTTCAATAAAAACTCGGTGGTTTTAGTAATTTCGCTTTATGTTATAATAAAATCAATTTAGCAGTAACAGTTTTCTTGACAGAATGAATTTAACAATTTTAACAAGTCATGACATTATGGTCGGTAAAACCAGCCGAACACACGAACGCGGGCGACATCTGCTATCTGCCGGCGACAACCAATGACGCTTGGGCTAAGAGCGCTCCGGTGTCCCATTCAATAGATGGCGCCATCCGTTATATAAATGCAAGTTTTCGCTATGATTTGTAATATTCCTTTTCTTTTATATGTATGTATATGTGGGGTTTATAGGGGCGCGAACATACTCCCCCCCGTTGAAGAGCCAAGTTCTTCAACCTTTAAATTCAACAGCAGCGGGAAGTCGGCAGAGTCGAACCAACGGCCGACGTATACATCCTTTAGTGGTATGAATATCAGCGACTCTAGAAATCCCATCTGATCCAGGATATAATCGTGTAACTCTACCCATCCTCCAATTTAGCGGGGGATTATTATCTTCGTGAATCAGTACTAAATCTCCAACATTAAGCGGCGCCCTTGTTGTCTTCCACTTTGTTCGTTGTTGCAATTCGGTTATGTACTCCTTCTGCCATCTTCTCCAAAAATGCTGACGTATCTGCTCCAAACGGGCGAAGCGGCTTAAAGATGTCTCCTTCAGGTCCTCCAGTGCGGCTGATGGTAAAGCATTCAAAGGTCTTCCAATCAAAAAGTGCCCGGGGGATAAGGAAAGTAAGTCATTTGGAGAGGAAGACATGGGACAAAGGGGACGGCTGTTTAAAATTGCTTCTACTTGTGCTAATAATGTACTAAATTCCTCGAACGTAAGATGCGTATTTCCCATTACTCTTTTAATATGATACTTTGCGGATTTCACACCAGCCTCCCACATTCCGCCAAAGTGGGGAGCGTAAGCCGGAATAAAATTAAACTTTACTTCCTCCTGAGATGCAAACTCGGATAGACGTTTATTATTTTGTTTTAAAAAACTAGACAATTCTTTGGCTGCTGCCACAAAATTTCGACCGTTGTCTGAATATACCTCCGTTGGCTTACCACGACGCGCTACAAATCTACGGAAGGTCATTATGTAAGATTCCATTGATAAATCTGACACTGCCTCCAAATGTATACATTTGAATCGCAAACATATAAAAATACATAAATAACACTTTGTTGCTTTAGCGCCTCGACCCTTTCTATTTAGGATAAGAAAAGGACCAGCATAATCTACGCCAACAGTCCTAAATGGAAAATCAACTGATACGCGATATGCAGGTAAATCGCCCATTCTGGTTAAAAGTGTTTGGCCGCGCACACGGCTGCAAACAAGACAATCCCTTACGACACTTCTACCGAGCCTCCTGCCGTTAATAGGCCAAACGGTTTCTCTCAAGGTAGCCAGTAGAAGCTGTGGACCAGCATGCAGATTTTTGATGTGTTCACGTTCAAACAGTAACCTTGTCGAACGATGCGAGGAGTCAATTAATATGGGATGCTTCTTTTCAAATGGGTAGTTGGAGGAACCAAGTCGACCACCAACACGTATTACAAACTGCTCATCCAAAAATGGTGATAGAGACGAAATTTTCGATTTACTGCTCAACGCAACGCCCTTCAAAAGTTTCTCGTACTCTGCCTTAAAACACAATGATTGATTAATTTTGCAAATTAAAATAAATGAGTTTTGCAACTCCTCGGGCCTAAAATACCCTGTATACTTCATGGATTTAGTTTTAGAATTTATATTATGGCAAAAACGCAACACGAAAGCCAGAATTCTACGTACTTTATCAAAATTCGAAAATTTATTAAAGTCGATTAAGGGTATTCCCTCATCTACGATCGCAATAGTGAGTACCTTGACTTCAGGTAAGTTCTCAACTACTGTTTTTCCGTTTAATTTGGGCCATTCTAATTCATTTTTTTTTAAATAACTAGGACCTGACCACCACAATTCCATGCTAGAAAGCTGGTTGCTATTGACTCCACGAGATATTAAATCAGCAGGATTGGAGTCAGTTGGAACATAGTACCACGATTTGGGATTAGTTAATTCCAGTATTTCGCCTATTCTGTTAGCAACAAATTGCTTAAGCTTCATTGGATTACTGTTAATCCATCCCAACACCACACTCGAGTCGCACCAGTGAAACGTACGAGTAGGGAGCCCTCTTAATGAATCAAGTACACTCCTAGACAGTCTAGCAGCTAACAATGCGGCACAGAGTTCGAGACGAGGTATGGTGCACGGTTTAAGAGGTGCCACCTTTGACTTTGAGCATAGTAGCCTCACCGTGATCTCGTTGTCACAGCTCGTGGATCTCAAGTATACACAAGCACCATAAGCGCATTGCGAAGCGTCACTAAAGGTATGCAGCTCAAAAGATGTCGGAGACTCGCACAGCACCCTGCGGGGAATCTGAAGACTTGCAAGAAAAGACAGGTTATTGTAGATTTCAGACCACTTCTCCCTAAGATCCACAGAAATGGGTTCATCCCATCCTATTCCTTCTAGCCATAGCCTTTGGACTAATATTTTTGCTTGAATAATGCAGGGGCTCAAAAGACCAAGCGGGTCATAGATTTGAAATGAAAGCGACAGTATAATTCTTTTTGTGATGGTGCTTATATCAATGTCAGTATTAACCTTGATTGGAAAGTTGAAAGTATCATTCACAGGGTCCCAACCAAGACCCAGGGTGTGCGAAGACTCACTTAACGTTAAGACATCTGCAGAACTCAAATCTGAATCTTCAAACAAAACCTTTGAATTTGTTTTAAATTTCCTCAAGGGGAAACATGCTGAATTTAGGGCGTTTGTTACTGAATTTAGTATGTGACGTAACTCTAGTTCATTATCACAGCCGGTGATCAAATCATCAACATAGAAATCCTTTTGTATGATATCTTTGATGAATTGTTCACCACATTCCTCTCCAACTTGGTTTAAACATCTAGTACTCAAGTAACTAGCGCTTGCAGTACCATATGTTGTAGTATTGAGACGCCATGTTTTAATGGGCTCATTCTCATTTTCCCTCCACAAGATCAGTTGCAAGTCCCTGTCTTCTTCATTGACATTTATTTGACGGTACATTTTAGCTATGTCACCGGTCAAGAGAAATTTGTGTTGACGGGCTCTGACCAATATGGAAAAAAGCGACTGTTGGACGTTAGGGCCCACCATCAATATATCGTTTAAAGAATATCCTGAAGTTGTGGGAGAGGAGCCATCGAACACGACTCGAATTTTGGTTGACTCACTCTCCTCTTTAAAGACAGCATGATGACATAAAAAATATGATGGATATTGTTCTTTCGTGGGTGATTCAGACATATGACCTAAATCTTGATATTCCCGCATAAAGTTTGTATATTGTAATTTTAGCTCTGGATTTCTTTTAAATCGCTTTTCAAGGTTTAGAAGCCTTTGTTTGGCTCGAAAGTAAGAATCTCCAAGGCAGTCGGGAGTATCCTTTAGAGGCAACTTCACGCAAAATCTGCCCTCTGGAGAACGAGATGTATTCTTCACAAAATGTTTTTCACATTCAATATCATTGTAGCCGAGAACTGTCTTTTGTGGCAGATCTTCGAGCTCCCAAAATTTTGTTATTAATTCATCAACCTTAAGTGTTTTATTTTGATTGAGAGATGCATGATTGCAAAAAAACTTATTATGTCCCAATAAGTTAGTTGAACCAGCAACAATCCAACCGAATTTAGAACTTCGTAATTGTATTTTGTTATTTGGTCCCAAGTATTTTTGCTTACAGCCAAGAATGTCCCAAAAGAGATCCGCACCAATCAAAACATCAACCGGAGCAGGATGGGCAAACTGAGGATCTGCAAGCCTTATGGTTTTGGGTATGTTCATATTTTGTACATTAACAGGTGTCTTTGGCAACAAACCTGTTAACTCTTCGAGTACATAGCAGGATAAGGTAGTTTGGTAAGTACTATTTATAGACTTAATCTTAGCCAAACAACTTTCCTTTATTTTATTGTTGCAATTATTTCCTATTCCAATCACATTAACCGCCTTTAGAGGTGCAGTGTTCAGTGATAACCT